CGCGTGCTCGTGCCCTACCTCTCTTCTCTGCCATCTGTCTTATCTCTGACCCATCCCTGTAACCCATCCCTTTCCTTGGTAATTCGCAACCTCCAGGCGCGCCTGAGCTCCTTCAACTCAGAGGTATCGGTGAGCGGTGCGAAGCGCGAAGGACAGGGTGCAAAAGAAGGACGCTTTCTAAACGACAGACCTACGTCCGTCTCCCGCTCAGCGGGCCTCCACTCGAAAGACTCCGGCGCCCGTGATGCCTCGCTCGCGCGCCCGTTGGCGCCAACGGCCTCGAGCTTGACGTGCCAAGTTCGCGCCGTCGTGAGCACGCGCCCTGCGCGCTGGCTGGCTGACACGCACGCGCCTGAGCGGACTCCGGGGCGGGGCGGACAGCTAGAGCCCCAGTGAGGGTCGGTGTGGATTGGGTGGCGCTCCGGCCCCCAGCCGTGATTGCGATTCCCAGCCCGCCGCCAGGCCGAGGAAGCAAGCGAATCTTTCTGGAAGAAAAGACATGAATGAAGCATATTATTTCCTGACAAGAAGTTGATGTAATAGAAAGAAATAACAGCTAGTGAACGGAATTTTGAGCACCTAGGATTTTGTATTTTTTTACTCCCAACCAAAGACTTCTGTTTCCCATACCTAAAGTCACTGATTCAATCTAGACAAGACAAAAAGATATTTTTCTTCAGTAGTACTTGAGATCAAAGATCCTGCAATGTCCAGGAAACAAAGTCAGAAGGATTCATCAGGATTCATTTTTTATTTACAGTCCAATACTGTGCTGGCTCAGGGAGGAACTTTTGAGAACATGAAAGAAAAGATAAATGCAGTGCGTGCAATAGTTCCTAATAAGAGCAACAACGAGATCATCCTCGTCTTGCAGCACTTTGATAATTGTGTGGACAAAACAGTACAAGCATTCATGGAAGGTAGTGCTAGTGAAGTACTCAAAGAATGGACAGTAACAGGCAAGAAAAAGAACAAAAAGAAGAAAAGCAAACCAAAACCTGTAACAGAATCGAGTAACAGTATCCCAGATTCCGGCAAACTGGCATCCATTCAAGAGGAACAGTCGGCACCTTCCTCAGAGGAAAGTGGCATTAACGGTTACCATGTCAATGGTGCCATTAATGATACTGAATCTGTAGATTCACTCAGTGAAGGCGTGGAGACCCTTTCAGTAGATGCGAGAGAATTGGACGATCCTGAGTCTACTGCATCAGATGGCCACACACTGCATAGAATAGGAGCCATGCTGGAGAATGGGGTCTCGGATTTTGAGCCTAAATCTTTGGCTGTGCACTCTACACAGGAAAGTTCTCCCCAAATCTCTCTCAAGAAATTCCACAGAAGCTCAGCTTTCAAATCTGGGGGTGGAAGATGTTCCCCTCTCTGCCACTAACAAAAAGCTAGGTTCCAATATTGAAAAATCTGTAAAAGATCTCCAGCGCTGCACAGTGTCCCTTGCACGGTATAGAGTTGTGGTTAAAGAAGAGATGGACGCTTCCATCAAAAAAATGAAACAAGCTTTTGCAGAACTGCAGAGTTGTTTAGTGGACCGAGAAGTGGCATTGCTTGCAGAAATGGACAAAGTAAAGGCTGAAGCAATGGAAATTTTGCTTGGCTGACAAAAGAAAGCTGAACTTCTAAAGAAGATGACTGATGTAGCTGTTCGAATGACAGAGGAGCAATTGATTGAGCTCAGAGCTGATATAAAGCATTTTGTTAGTTAACGTAAATCTGATGAGGATCTGGGACGAGTAGCACAGTTTACCTGTGATGTAGAAACCCTAAAGAAGAGCATTGATTCATTTGGACAAGTGTCACATCCAAAGAACAGCTATTCAACAAGACCCCAGTGTAGTTCTGTTACATCTGCATCTTTGAGCAACCCAAGTGATGCTTCTGCTGCTTCCTCTTCCACCTGTGCCTCTGCTCCCAGCCTTACAAGTACTAATAAGAAAATCTCTGCACCCGGAGAGACTCCTGCAGCCATAACCCACTCCAGTGGCCGGCCTTCCCAGCCTCCTCGGGAGGTAAGCTAGCTTCCACATAAACGAGTTAGCAAGAAAAGCCACCAGAGTGTCAGAATTTAAATGCTAATAGCTCAGCCTATTACCTGCTTCCCTTTAGTCTCATCTCACACCTCCTTTGAATTCCTCCAGCTCCACTTACTTCCTGAGAAAGCATTTGGTGTGTATGTTCCAAACCACCAGCCAGTTTAGAATTCCTGTTGCTAAGCGCTGCTGACTTTCTTATTTTGGCAGTGATTCTAGTTGCAGTAGGTAGTATTGCCTGGTAATTAGTCACAGTGGGAGTCATGCACCCATCTCAGGGTAGACAAGCACCACAGTGGCAGGCTCACTAGAGTGCATCTGAAAGCAGCAACTCCCTAGAAGCAAAGCGTGGACTATATCAGGGAGAGAATGTGAGCAAGCAAGAAAGTTGAAGAGTAATCTTTAGTTTCTGGTTTGAAGAAAAAAATCCAACACCATAGCACTCCAAAGCAATGCTGTCAGTAATTCTTCACACTCACTACTATAGCATTGGAATTGGGGGACAAAAATAAAATCCCACACCATCATCTTTTTGGGTTGTAATATTAAAGATGCACTAAACGTCAGTGAGATTTAAGTCTTATAATATTTAGCAGAGTAGGTGCTTATTTTATTATTACAAATGTGCATGATCTCTCCAAATGGTTTATGATCTGCCAAGTTCAAGCATATGATACTTGCCTAATTGAGGGCTTGCAGCAACATTGAACATGTTTTCTTTGTTCTTCGCCTTTTCTTAGCTTTTTTTTAAGCCCAGCTAAAGACGGGTAAACTCTTTCCATGAAGTTCAACTAGCAGGGAAGGAATTAGCAGTTCTGCTGCAAGATTGGATTAGCTGACAAATTTGTATCTGTGAATCTTGAGTTTCAAGCATCGTCTACCACAGTTATGCTCTCAGAACACTTCTATAAATGAAACTGAAACAAATTAGGTATCTGCTTTGAGCATTGTATTCTTTTGTCCTTAGGTATTTCCGGGGAACAGACGAGGAGGACAAGGCTATAGACCACAAGGCCAAAAGTCCAGTGAAACCACAAGCCAAGGGAGACATGACGGTGTAGGTCGTTACAGAAATAGCTCATGGTATTCATCTGCTCCCAAGTACCAGAATGCTCCACCCCAGGCACCAGGAAGCACTGAATGGGGTCAGGTTCACGCTTCAGGGACCAATGGAACTGGAGCCAGCGTGGAGCCCAGCCTGCCCAAACCCTCTTTCAAAAAGGGGCTCCCCCAGCACAAACCCAGGACCTCTCAGGCTGAAGCTGTGAACTCTTGAGGGAGATCTTAGCTGACTTCTCATCTCTCTTCCTCATAACTCAACTTGATAACTGGACTTTAGGAAACATTCTTAGATTTAATAACAAAAAGAAGTTTACGCATATCACTTTTTGTGCCATTCTAAATATTTTTTAGTCTTTTCTCATCATTTGTTCTTTACCCTTTTTGGAAGGGAATCTCTTTTTTTCTTTACTTTTCTCAGTGAACAACCCTGACAAAACCCTGCTTGCTGAAACTGAGGAGGACCTGAAGCGCTTGCTGCAGAATTTCAAGGTCTGCAGCCTTCAATATGGATTGAGGTTCAATATAAAAAAAGACAAAGGTTCTCACCACTGGGCCAATTGACTGCATCAGGATGTATGGTGAAGAGATTGAGATTGTTCACAGCTTTAGTTTGCTTGGCTCCACAGTCAACACTTTTGGCATTAGCAGCCAGGAAATAAAAAGACGTATTGCAATGAGAAAGTCTGCTGTTAGTGACCTCTCTAAAGTACTGAAGAGTAATGGTGTCATTCTGGAGACTAAGGTGAACCTGATACAGGCCATGGTCTTTGCAATCACTTGCTGTGTGTCAGAGAGCTGGACAATGACTAGGAAGGATAGAAGGAGAATTGATGCCTTTGAGCTGTGGTGTTGGAGAAGAGTATTGAATACACCATGGACTGCTAAGAAAATGATCAGGTTCATCCTGGAGAGAGTGAAGCCAGGCTGCTCCTTGGAGGCAGATTCTGAAGCTTCATCTGACATACTTTGGACATGTTGCAAGGAGGGACTTGTCCTTGGAGAAGAACGTCATCCTTGGGAGGATAGAGGGGCAGAGAAGACGAGGAAGACCCTAGATGAGATGGATTGATTCAGTGACTGGAGTAATGGGGGTAGGTGTGTCGGAGACAGTGAGATTTGCACAGGATAGAGCAGGGTTTAGGACTATTGTCCATAAGGTCACTATGAGTCGCAGGCAAGTCGACGGCACATAACAACAACTATCGTGTGAAGAATTAAATACCACATGACACTCTTGTTATAAGTATCCATTGTGGTACAGTGTTATATGTTCTGGGCTGTTAACTGTTGTTCATAAAGTCAGCAGTTTGAATTCACTGGCCACTGTGTAGGAGAGAGATGGAGAATATTCTCTCCACAGACTTTACAGCCTAGGACATCTGTCCCTGGCATCCTTAATCCACATGAAATTCCAGAAGAAATGTGTGATTAAAATCCAAATCAGGCTGGGTTTTTTTTTCTCTGTACAACTCTCGTTGGCAGAAGAAAACAGCATCTAGATATTTGTCAACCAAAATGATGCCAATTTGTAAATTAAAATGTCACCTAGTGAAAAAAAAAAGAACCATGGCAGTAAGTGGGGTCCGACTCCTATTACTGAATAAAACAGAAGTGTTTTACGTAGGCACAAAGAAGGAGAACAGCTCTCTCTCATCTTCAACCAAAATGTCTTAAAAAATGAGATTCCATTTCATTGGAAGCATATTTTAAAATTCTGCAATTTACATACATACTATCTTCTTTCCTTTGCACAGGTCAGCCCTTTGTATAAACTGGCAATGGAATCTTCAACTCCTTTGTAAATTTGATAAGTCTTATTTTGAGCTAATCTCCAAGGTGAAGACCAGATGCTGAT